GAAGGGGGGGGCGGCGGCGCGGGGGGGGGGGGGAGCCGGGAGCGGGGCGGGTCCCCCCGTCCCGCCGCGGTTGCTGAGCTCCCGCTGTGCCCCGCAGGTGCAGGAGAACATCGAGCGGTTCTTCACCCGCTTCGTGGAGGAGGGCAAGGCCACCGTGCGCCTCCGGGAGCCCGCCGTGGACGTCTGCCTCAGCAAGGTGGGTGCCGGGGCCGCGGCTGGCGGCTGGGGACACCGATGAGGAACGGGTGCCCTGCTCGAAACCGAGCGGCGTGTGGAGGCGGCCGGGGCGCTGGCCGGGCCCCCGAGGGTCCCCAGGCCGGCTGCCTGGGCTCCGTCCGGCAAATGGCAGGCTGTGCGGCCGAGTCTTGCCTTAACAGTCGTCTTTGTGCCCCAGCTTTGGCATAGGAGATGTAAGCGAGGCAGCATGGAGGAGCTCGGCTTTGTATGTCCTCAGCAGGCTACAGCAAAAGGGGAAATGTAAGGGAGCTCACTCTTTCTGCCAGCAAGGCTGAGCCCAGCTTCCTCGCTGGGCTGTGTTCGGATTCTCCCTTCTTCTGCTCCCTCTGGAGAAACAGCAGGAAAAGTCCGTTTTTCATGTGGTTCTTTGTCGCTTGTTCAGAGACAAACAACTTTTTTCCTCTCTCTGATACAATATCTTGTTCTTTGGGCCGTAAATTCTATGAAAGTTATTGGTTATAGTCTTTTTAATTAAAAAAAATGGAGAATACTCTTCTCTTAGTGGACAAGCAACGTGCCCACTGTGGTTTTCAAAGCTGGAGAGACGTGGTATGGATCAGCGGTACAGCCAGCATCTCGCCTTAATGCTTAGGTGGTAGTAGGACTCACCAGTGTATTTATTTGTAGTTCATAGGCTATTTGGAAGCTGTAAAGTGTTTTTAATAACGCTAAACTCACCAAAAAAAATCACATATTAACGTTCAACTTTTATGTTGTTGATTTTTTTTTTCTGTGCCTCTTCCAGTAATCTTTTGTAGCCTTGTAGAAGAGGAAAGCGGGACAGCTTTTCTAAAACTTCAGAGTCAGGATGTGTAAATAAAAGCAAATAATATTGATTGCCTGTTTGGAAAATCATTTTGATTTTCTGTTGCAACTGTGATTCTTTGGCCTGAAGGAGATCCTTTAATAATTTCAGTGATCTCAGACTGAGCAGCTGTAATCGTGAGCGGTGAAGCTTACTCCTTCACAAGCAGAATGCTTTCTCAAAGGGCCTGCCTAAGGAGAAGTGCACAGGGGGTGTTTAAACTGCAGCTGCGACGGGCACTGACAACAGTCTTGCTGGAGTGGAGCGGAGCTCGGGGCAGGCTGCAAGGTCTGCTGGAGAAACAAGATGAATGAATCTGTACTCAAGACGGTGACTTACTGAAAAGACAACAAATATGACTCAGCAAGAAAGAAAAAGCACTTACTGTATTGGGAATAAGACCGGTAACTGAGTATAAGCCTGAATATAGTTGTGGTAGCCCAAAATTTTGCAGAATGTGCACAGTGCTATGGTGAACTGGAAATACCTTGTCTGTGCAAGAGTGAAGGCTGTGGTGGTAAGGAAGGCAGCCTTAATTTGATGAAGAGAGAAGTTCACATTACAGGGTTAAATATAAAAGAAGTAGTGTGTGCCCAAATCCAATTCATTTTTTTCTTGTCAGAAGCAAATGTGCTCTGTATCTTGCAAAAAAGAAAACTCACGTGTGTTGCGTTAGATCTGAAATGTCTACATCCTTTACTCGGAGCGTTTCTGCTGAAGTGTGAGAAGTCAAAAAGTTTGCCTTGGAACAAAGGTAGAAAAGCAGGCCTGTTGTAAGGGGATCTCCTAGTCGTGTAAAATTAGAGAGGAAAGGTCTGTGTTTTAGTGCTACAAGATCTAATTTAGACCCTTTATAGGGCCTGTAAGGGAACTGTGTGACAGACATTCTTTCAGTGTGGGTAGTAATTTAGTTAAGAACTACATCTGTTGTTTTCTATATGAGAAGGTAGTCCACGACGTTGTTAGACTGAGAAGTCTCAACCGAATCTAATGAAATGGGAGTTAGAATAATGACCCGAGTTCCCCCAAGGAGGCTAGATCCTCACTCCCCATTTTTAGCGTAAGGCTTGCCCTCATGCTGTCAAGCTCCAGGAACAAATCCACAAAATTCTTCCAAAGCCAGTGATACTACATATTCCTCTTAAATGCTCCAAATCCGGAAACCCAATTTAAGATGATTGGTAACTTTTCTGTAGTGTTTCTGCTAGTCCTTCATAATTTTATTACAGAAAGGCTTCTTAACTCTCAAAGATGGACAAAAGCTTTGTAGAAAAGAGATTTCCAGGTATGACTATACTGATTTCTTGCTAGAAAGGTTGGACCCGATGATCCTCGAGGTCCCTTCCAACCTGGTGTTCGGTGCTTCTATGATTGCATGCAACTACCATGCAAATCCCCACTCTTTGTGCTCTGCCAGGCGGTGTGATCTGCTGCATTCAGCCACATCAGAAATTAAGTTGAGAAACATTGGTCTGGAGCATTCAGCCCTGGAGCGAAAATAATAAAGTCACTGTGGGTTTCTTTTTTTCCTTCAGCAAGCCTGTGCCTGCTGCACTGCACGCAAGGTCTGAAATCCATGTAATCTCTGATTGCCTTGTCATCATTCATTTAGTTCTGAAACAAGGGACTTGTAAGGCATCAACGCAGATTAACTTCTTTTCCCAACATCTTGTCTGTGGTTGACGCTTCAGACTTGGGGCAGAAAATTGTGCCCTGAGCTCTTCCAACTAATCGTTTGCTTTCTTTCTTAGATGTGTCTTATTATTTTTCTCAACATACTCAAGGTTTCTCAACAACAAGGTTTACAGGTACTACATTGCCTTTGCGAAGGTATTGTGAAGGAAATTTGTCTCAAGGATCCAGAACACAAAGCACTTTTGTTTTGAAGTCACGTGAACAGCCCATAAACTTATTCTTAACAACCTAGAACTTTTGGCTACGAGAAACAGGTATCTGTTGTGTCTCACGCTTTGAGATCAAAGAAATATTGCCTGTAACTCAATTCTAAGGTATAGTTACACATTTTACTTGGTCTTTACAGATGTGGAGGACTTTTTCTCCTTACTCCCAAATTTAGTGAGCTATTTATTACCCTCGGAAACATGACAAATCTGCCTGTAGTTAGGGGGAGTGCCATAGCTAAGTGGTTTAGATAATGAATGTTGGTAGTCTTGGATAGAAAGGTTTTTGGCATGCAACTTCCCCACCTCTGGAGGGTATCACATCAGGAGCTGAAAGAATAGATGTGCATGGGATGCTTAAGGAGAACAATCATTTTAGGTTACCGATGCAGTCAAATATGTTTGACCTTTATCGTCTTTATTTATATCACATTAGCATCCAGAAGTCTGCAAGATCATTGCTCTGTTGTGCTAGATGCTTAGAGCATATTACGTAAGCTAGTTCTGGACACTCTAGAATTTGGCATAAACAAATACATTGAGGAGCAAAATTGTCTTTCAGGTGCAGAAATGGGTGTCGTTAGGCTTGGGCAAGTTACAGCTGGGAACAGAGCGCAAACCTCTCGGCTCTGACAGCCATGCCAAAACTCCCAAGTTTGTTCTTTCCTGCAATGAGAGATTACTTTTACTTGTATGGATGCATCACACTTTTTATTTTATGATTCACTTTATAGCTTAGTGTCTGTCAGCTGCACGTCAGCTTGAGTAGAGACTTGCTGGGAAATTTAGAAGAGAAACATTTGGTCACCCTGTTATTCATAAAATTTAATTGTATCATTACAACAAATGTATCACAGCTTTCTTGACCTTTATTTAAAATACAGGTCATCTGATACTCCATTAATGTGGCTCTCTGTCCGTACTGCCATTATATGATATCCCACCTAAAGCAAAATCAGTCGATTGTTGGCAGAAGGACTGCAAATAATTATCCTCGTTTGATGCTGGCACAACCAACCAGAGCTGTGTGTAACCAGAAGCACTTACTTAACCCGCCTTGAAGCTTTCCACCTTCCTTTATGTTAAGTTTAACCTCACCTTCCATCCTTTCCCTTCCTCGCAACTTTCAGAAATGATTGCCTCAAGATTTAGATCTCTGATTTCCCCGTGTGTGTTTTTATAAGCTGTCCCTTTATCATCTTGCAGGTTAGGAGGAAGATCAGGTGCATCGGGCTTTTTTTCTGTACTTTATTTTCAGCTGCGAATTCAGTGCTTTGTTCCTTTTCTGAGTAATGCAACGCAGTTTGTTTGATCTAGATTATTCAGAGAGGTTGTAACTTCTCATTCAAATTGCATGCCATTTGTTCTTAAATACTGTAAACAGCACGTCAACCTAATAAGCCGGAGTTGTTTCCCTTTCCCATTGCATTGCCCTGCTGAGTTAGTATTTCCTGACGCATGTACAAAATAGTTCAGAAAGCGTTAGTACAAATGAGCACAAGAATAATGAACTTTTAATTCCACATTTGTGTTTTCCTGTAGGCAAATGCCAGCAATTTAAAGAATTTCCTTTCAGCTGTGAGACTGGCTCACCAAGGAACCGACATAGGAGCTCTCCCGCTCTCAGCTCTGGTACCAGCAAAGACCTCGGAAGTTGAAAAACCTAAGACAAAAATGATCATAACTTCAAGAAGGGACTATCCTCTCACCAAAAACTTTCCTTACTCCCTCGAACATCTCCAAGCCTCGTACTGCAAACTTGCTCGGATCGACATGCGTGTGCTTTGTTTGAAGAAACTCCGAAAACTAGACCTAAGTCATAATCATATTAAGCAGCTGCCAGCTACTATTGGTGACCTGATCTGTCTTCAGGAGCTTAATTTGCATGACAATCACCTGGAGTCGTTCAGTGGGGCTCTGTGCAACTCCACCCTTCAGAAATCTCTTCAGTTCTTGGACCTCAGCCAAAACAAAATTAAAGCACTTCCAATTCAGTTTTGCCAGCTGCGAGAACTCGTTAATTTAAAGCTCGATGACAATGAGTTGATTAGGTTGCCATTCAAGATTGGCCAGTTAGATCATCTACGCTTTCTGTCAGCAGCTCGAAACAAACTTCCTTTCTTGCCCAGTGATTTTAGGAAACTCTGTCTTGAGAACTTGGATCTCTTTGGAAATCCTTTTGAACAGCCTAATCCGCTTGTTCCCAACATACAACTGAAAATACCATTGACTTTATTAGAGTGCGCTGCAAGAGCAACCCTAAATTACAGGTAAGAGTAGCACGATGGGTACGCATTGCACCTACGCCGTTTCAAACCTGTCGAGTCTGAACTTTCCTGGCTTTTTTTTTTTTTTCCTGTCAGTGGCTATTGCTCTTCACCTATGAAAAATCGTAAGGCTAAAGTTGCTTTGAATTCCACTTGCAAAATCATCCCTTTGTTATACAGGATAACGCAGTAAATTGGTGACTTGGAAGCATTTAGAGAAAGCTATAGGTTGAAATGTTTTTATCCACAAAATGGGGGCACCGTAACAGAATATTCTTGCCCAACCATGGGAAAAGAGAATCAGTTCTACAACCCTGAACCACTTCTGGCATTTTGTGTTGAGGAGCTTACATGACAGTGGATTTTGTGGCACCGATCATATATTGTGCTGGGCTCTAGCTTGGAAATTGCTTTCAAACATGGTTGCCCTTCATCTTGTGTTCACATTAAAGTACACTAAAACTGTAATACCCGTTAGCCTTTCGCTATCCCTTCCCGTGTGAGAATAGTGCGTTGGCAAAAGGTTACCTTCTGCCGTGCAGCTCCTCGTTACGGACACGGAGCGGTCTGCCTCTGCTTGAGGTGGGGCCTTACACAAGCTGAGCAGTGTTAGAGCGGTACCGCGAGTGTCGTGCTGTAGTTGGCATTACCTACTGCAGCCTTCTCCCTGCCTTAGGTGTTCCTTCAGCTGTTAATTTCCTTTGGTGTTGGAGTGAGGGTGTTCTGTATTAGGCAGAGAAGCCCAGTTCTGAGGTAATTTTAAAATTACTATTTCGCCAAGCAAACGTCGTCCTTGCCAGGCTGCTGTTTGTTATGAGTTTCCTCCCCTTCCCCCACACCGCTTACACAGGCCTGCCTGCGTGCCGCTGCCTGTGATCCTTCCAGTACCAGCTGCTGCTACTCCCACCCTGTTCTGGGTGGAAAAGGGAGCAAGAAGATGGAAAAGAGTCACGGGTACAGAAAGGGGGTGAGAGACAGATTTGAAGTGTTCCTAATCTACACTCAGTGCCCGTTCCTGCCCTGGGGGTGGGGAGCGCCCCGTAAACCTGGGTTAGTTGCTCAGAAGTCTGTGCTAAAGGTGTCCACAGGCACGCGGGGCACACCCTGGAAATGAGCTGAGCAACCAAATGTTCCGGTTCAACTCTTATCCACTTCTGACCTTGCTGATTTTATTAGAGTAATTATAGTCCACGTGTCTCCTTTCCCAACTTTATATAAATTGCAGTGGTTTTGCTATGAATCTTAAGGCATGTTTTTTTCTAGACTATAATCCCTCAACACGGGTCAGATTTGGGTTCTCAGTTACATTACCGGAGTACCTAAGGATACCTGGTCATTAACCTAGCCCCTGGCCCCCATGCAGCAGGCTTTAAAAAAATCAGCGTCACACAGAACAAAAAAGGCTCCAGGAGTCTCAGTGAGACAGGGGGCAGTGGAAACAGTCCCCTTGCCCACGGGTCTGTGGTTATTAGGAGACGGCATTGGTCAGGGTGGTCCTGAGTCTCTTAAATGGAAAAATCTAACAAGTGGGCAACAGACATTCTGTCTGACGTTCACTGGAGGTGAGAATTAACAAAGAGAGAGAAACAGGAGTGATGATGGGCTGTGAAAACCTCGAGAAAGGAAGAAAACAGGAGGGAAGACTCGAAAGCAGGTACCAGAGCTGTGATTACGCTTGTCCTGACCGGAAAAAAGGATGTCCCGAAATTGAGGTGGTGAAAAAAAAACCCACAGGAGTCTTAGCTATGTGAATGATGGTACGTAGAAGGAATTGGGAAATATGTAGGTGTAGTCGGGATGTGAGTCAGTGAGACCTATTCTGTGAGTCTTGAGTGACAGCTGGGCACCGGTGATACCCACACTTTGAAGTTAACTCAACAAAGTACTACAGGGAAATTATTAATTTTGTACCCCAAACACAATGCCACTCTGCTGCGAATTTAAAAAGAAGCCATTCTTGTTCCTGTCACTGAATGTCATTATTGACATGATGGATGAAAAGAGCGGTATATCAAGAGAATCTTAATTTGTTGTCTGCAATGTAGTACTGCTGTAAAAAGGCTCATCTTATCTCCCGTTTCCTCTGGATATGGTGGTTTTATGCTACTACACGTTAAGAGAGTGAGGAGTAAATTGTGGGTGCCTTATCAGGCCAGGATGAAATACAGTGACCTTCCTGTCCAATGTGAGGGAAGAGCAGATATTTGCCCAGTTGTCTCATTATTTTTAATCTTCTTTTAAATTCTCTAATTCTCTCTCGCTGCGATACAGGCTGTTACGATTTGTGTGAACTCCCTCGTTCTTGTTGCAGCGTCTTCTGGAGTTCAGGTCCTTGGTACTCAGGGGTCAGTCACGTGGTTGCATGTTTTTAGTGACTGTCTTGGAAAGTGGCGTTTAATTCCTAACCAGTCCAGTATTGCAAGTGGCAAAATTTCAGATTTGCCTTGCCTATGATCTCGGAAAGGCGCTTCTTCCAACTGGTGCATATGGCCTGTCACTGTGTTTGAGTGACACTGGTTAATTTTGTAGTCAATTCACGCTTACTCCTCTTGTTCAACAGAATCCCTTATGGTTGTCATCTCCTTCCTTCCCACCTCTGTGAAGATCTGGAAGTGGCTAAAACATGCCAGTGCGGAAGTGCCTGTCTGAGCAGCTTCATTCAGATCACGGTGACCATGAATCTCCACCACGTAGCACACACCGTGGTCCTCGTGGATAACATGGGAGGTACGGAAGCACCCATCATCTGCTACTTCTGTTCTCTAGACTGCTATTCCCAGTTCCTGGATAGGTACCTGCAGAGTAACGGGTGACCATCATCGGGCGCAAAAGCTCTGCCTGAAGTTCTGTCCAGTGACGGAAGAGCCTGAAATTGTTTTCTGCTGCTGACGTAGGGCATTTGCCGCCGATAGCAAATGTCAGTCTTGCAGTGGGGGGCACTGTCAGCCCGATCTGGTGGCCTGACTCTGTTCCTCCACCACTAGAATCTCTCTTTGGTTGGAATAAAAAGCGATGCTTAGCCTGAATGAATCTTCCTTAGAATGTATTTTGCTTTCTTTTCCCTATTACTGTGACTTTGTTCGGAGTATCACAACAGTTTTCTTTGTTTTGTGGTGTAAGTGGTTTCTTCTTGCTAGGAGAAGGAAGGTGAGCGTATATCAAACTGCTTTGCGTGCTTACACTTGAGGCTCTGAACTCTGCCTACAGAAGACAACTGCGTTGACTTTATCCCTGGACTGGACTCCTCCCGACTTCTTTACTGTAGAGCAACTTGGTAGGCTGCTATGGGAAGACGTTACGGTGTGAGCAGTTCAAAACTGATCACGTAATTCCAGGTGCTTCTTTTTAAAAAGTTCTGTTACAGCGTTCTCACTTCAAGCAGGGACCAGCATTGCTGGTTTTTTACCAGAGGAAATGTTTTGGGTTTTCTCTCTTTGTTATGCAAGAAATGCCTTTTTCTAAATATGTGACCTAAACTTTGTTTCTTAACTCTCACATTTTCAAGATTCTTGAATTGTTCACTGTGTCGACTTATTAAATTTTGAAACCCTTCCATGCACACGTGAATTGTGTTTCCTCTAAGGAGTTTTTCACCCAGTGTATTCTAGGGATTAGCTGCCGGCCCTTTTCCTGGTGAAGATACCGAAATACTTGAGAGTATCCACCCCCTTACTGCACATCTTGTCAGCTGGTCCCTGGCCGGGGTATTGACACAGCATGGAACAAAAATCCCTTGAGAAGTCTTTAGGCATCCCATGCCCGGGAGCACGTGATGGCTTGGAGGGAGCAGGTTACGCTGTTGGTTTTGAAGCAGTACTGACTGCCCAGGTGTGCATTACACATTTCGCATCCCTTCAGGTCACAGAAAAACACACCACTGTGGCAATTTTATGTAGTTTCAGTGGGAAAACAAGACATCTGTAGTCGCTGAGTGCAGAACTGACCTAGACTGGGCTTCAAGTGACAGCTAGGTGTGAGGAGCAGCCTGAAAGGCGGCAGCAGGCTTTGGAAGAAGGTACTGGCTCGCAGGTATCACTTAATGTCTCCTATGTGAGCACAACCTTCATCCACGTTTTAAAAATCATCAGTTTCCAACTCTTCGCTAATCCGAGACATTCACAGCAGAAATAAATACTGAAGCACTCCTACTGAAGGGCTTTGCTCTGACAAGGCCAAGAGACACATTTTCCTGAGGAAAAGGAACCTTTATTCTAGCAATACCATGTCATTAAAACTTCCTGCTGTCAAAATAACTTGACTGTGTTCTCTTCATACAGTATTTGTAACGCAGTAACTTTTCAGCAACGACAGGAAGATTTGGATGAATCATTCCTTCTACGTTGCTCTTCAACTACAGAGAACTTGTGAAGGAGGAAGCCAAGTGTGCCTGTTTACCTCAACACCGATCTTCAGAAAGCACTGCAGAGCTAACCCTGGGAGGTTTTAAATAGTCATATGCTAATGCTGCTGTAAAGGGAGAGAGATCTCATCCTGATTGCAGCAGCCTGAAGATTACTCATTTGGAAAAATACCTTCTAGGTGGAGCGCTGCATGATTAAGAGGCGGCAAGTGGAGCAGACACAGAAATTTGGCCTCCTGTGGGACTCCTCAGGCATTTTAGCTGCAGATGTGTGGGTGTCTGCAGTGGCTGAGCGCCTTCCAGGGGAGCCAGCTGTGCTGGGCGGAGGAGGGAACCACACCTGCGTGGCGCAGGATGCGAGCAGCCCGCGAGCGAGGGCTAGGCTGCGGAGTCCTGCCCAAGCCCTGCTGTGCTGGGAGAGGGGATCGGCTGGGGGGTTAAAGGCCAACGTGAAGAGGAGTGCAACCTCTCTTGGCTTGAAAGGGAGGCTGTGAACTGTGGGAAAGGGCTTTTTGCATGGGAGTATTTTGCTGCCAGCTCTGCACGTACTGCTGGGTTTTTTTAATCCCACGTGTGTACACTGGGCTGCTGTTATCTCTGAAGCGAATGTCATCCCCAAAACTGACTTGGCTTCCCTTAATCCTCTGAAACTACAGCGTCAAGGAGGGCGGTAGGGTGCTGGAGCCCTGTTCTGCAGAGGTTCTTCCCCAGCCATCGCTGTGTTGGTACCACAGCTCCTTCTGGCAACGCAGCGCTGTCCCCAGCATGCTGCGATCCTGCCGTCTCCACCGCGGTCAAATGTGCAGAGGAGCTGTCTAAGCTCCCTGCTTTCCCACCCTCCAACAAAAGATGAAGAAAAGGGAAGTCCCGTGCAGCCGAGCAGAGGGGTTGGAGGGTCTACAACATCCCCAAGTTCCTTTGGGAGTCTGTTCCAGCCGACTTAATATTCTCAGCGTCTTGCAATCCCCACAAACAAGCTCTGTCCGTGCTGCAAAGCGTTTGTCGCAGTAGAGTGACGTTCTCCGATGGCAGCTTCATCCCAGAGGCAGCAAGGTGCTTGGGATGAGTGAGCTGGGGTTTGTCTTGCTGGCGGCAGAAGGATGAGCAGCCGGGGCAGCGGCATTCCCGGGGCGGCTGCTGCAGCGCTCCGTGCCTGCGCCCTGCGGAGCCGGCGCTGCCTGCCGTCAGCCAGCCAGGAGGTGGCGAAGGAGCCAAGAGCCAGAGCCGTTCTTCAGTTAGGTAAAGCCAAAGCAGAAATTGCTCCTTTCAGGAGCATCTTTTCCAGCGGTTTTCCTTGCCTGCCGGCAGGACAACAACTGTGGTGCCCTTAGATCTCCTTCAGCTCGCTTCTCATCGGCGCGCTGGGCTCGCCTGGGGAAAAGGCCAACCAGCGGCGTGGATGCCGGTGTTGACCGCAAAAGACAGGCACAGTTCTGTTGTCTGATATCACAAGCACGGGAGTATGTGTGACCCAGCTGCTGTGTCTAGGGCTGTCCGTAGAGACAATGGGACTGGGCAAAAATTGTTCTCCTAAGAAACTGTTCTACCCCGTTTATTGTACTTGTGGGGAACGCTGTAGGGCCGGTTATGTGGTGTTTCCTATTCGTAGCAACGCGATCTGATTGAATCAGACCGACCTCGTTGCAGAGACCAGCCTCTCTTTTAAGGAGTATTCTTTTTTTAATGCCTCCCTTGAAAACCACCAGTTGTGCCTGGGTGATGAGGAGAAACTTGCTGAGTTACGCAAAGCTCAGCTGTGGTCAGAAAAAGTCAAGCTGTGAAACCGTCATTAAAAACGTGTCCTAAACGCAGAAGCATCGCTCCGGTCCCCCCTGCTAATGCCGTGCCCAAGAAGTTTGGTGTTTGCCTCGGATGTTGCAGGGCCGAGTACTACGGGGCTTAGTCTCATCGGATTAAAGCAACCGATGGCTCTTGCCCAGAATCTGAGGACACTGCCTAATGTGAGACGCTTTTAAATGCAATGGAAACCTGCGCTTACCCGTCTCACCTGGGGGGAAAAGCCTCGATGGCGGATCTCGATTTGGTACTCCTGAACACTGCTGCAAGCTGGGCTAGCGGCAGACTGGATCATTCTCTAATTGGCCCGATTGTGCTGTGCTGATGCCACTTTGCATTATCCGAGGGCTTTGTGATCTTTAACGTGTTTATCCCTGCGCTGCCTGTGTGACAGGGAAACCGTTACCCCAACCGGATGGCGTTTCCGTTGCTGGAGTTGTACCCGCGGCTGGGCAAGGTGTTACATCTGGCTCGGCTGCCTTCTTGGGGCAAGAAATACTTAAAGTTATGGAAGCGAGTATTGATGTTAACCCAGACTGAAAAAACAACCCCGTGTCGGCACCACCCTGCGCAGGAGGAGGGGGTGGCAGCAGCCTCCTGAAAACGGCGGGTTAGTGCTACACGGGATGAGGCGCAGCGGGGACCCTCGTGAACGCAGCAAAACCCGGGGCAGCACTGCGGGCAGATGGCTGTCGCGTTTGCCAGGCTTTTGGAAGCAAAACTGGCGCCGTTTCTGTGAGCGCAAAGTGGAGCCGCGGGGGGCAGAGCTCTCCTCCTCCTGCGGGTCCCCGGGACCCGCATGGGTGACGGTATCTGACCCTCCGCAGATGCCACGCCGTGGCACACGGCACAGAACCATCACCAAATTTCAGAGCTGGCCCGTGCCCACCGAGGAGAGGGGCTGGGACACAAAGTACGGAATTAACAAGGGTAATTCTTGCAATTATTTGTAATTGTAGAATTATTTTATTATAGGTTATTCTTGGCATTTTGGAATTATTGTCTTCTAATTCTAGAATGACTGTCATCTTATATTCTTGTAATTCTAGAATTATGTATTATTCTTATGGTTGTAGAATTATTTTATTATGTATTATTCCTGCAGTTCTGGAATTATTTCCTTACTTCCTTCTGGCAATTCTAGAATGACTTGTATTCTTGCGATTCAAGAGTGATTTTTACATGTATTACTCTTGCAATTCTAGAATTATTTTCTTGTATTCTTGCAATTCTAGAATTATTTTCTTCTGTGTTATTCTTGCAAATCTAGAATGAACTTAGTTTTACACTTCTAGAATTTAACTGATTCTTGCAATCCTTGAATTAATTTGTGCTTGCCATTCTAGAGTGAGCGTCTTATTCTTGCAATTCCAAAATGATTTGATCTTATTCTTTCCAATCAAAATGGTTTTGTCTTATTCTTGCACTCCTAGAATTCTTCTCTTACCTTAGTCTTGCAATTCTAGGATGACTTATGCATTATTCTTGCAAATCTGGAATTATTTTACCTTACGTATTATTCTTGCCAACCTATTTTATCTTGTTCTTGCAAATCTGGAATTATTTTACCTTACGTATTATTCTTGCCAACCTATTTTATCTTGTTCTTGCAATTCTAGAAATTATTTCATCTTACTCTTGGATTTTTCTCCTCACACCCTTCCCCTTCCAGA